CGTGCCATACACACTACGGTTCCCGATACAAATTATTAATTCCGTGTCGATTTCCCAATCGTCATACCGTACACAACTAATTTCTGTAGTAAAATTACTCAAGCATATCGCGATTTTCATACAAGGCTCCTACTCGTCCTTCAATGGGTAATTAGGGTGGGATAACCGAACAGGGATTGAGGCATGTGCCTTTAGCAGCCTTATTTTGGGATTTGATGTAATTGCTGCTGCAAACTGTTTCTACTTTCGGATGTTGTTCTGAACATAGTATTAACATGCTGCGTAATTATCTAAATGAAAGGCCATCTACAGTGGCAATGTTAAAAAGCATCCTATTGCTTTGTACAGTTTCAGTTAACTTGGCAGCCTATATGTGTTTTAACTTTGGTTATAATACTGTCTTGCTCGGGAAGCTCCCGCCTATTTTAGCTCTCAAATTCAAAAGCACATATCTCAATTCAAGCAAAACATTTCTGATCGAATTGTAAATCGAGCCATGAATTTCCGGTAAACACGCGCGCACAACAACAGACACACTGAGCAGAATTACATGTACAACGTTTAGCTACGCACGCTACCACGAACATGAAACGGTTGACTCCGGACGAAAACGAACAGCCTGTACAGCAACTGCCAAAGCGCCAAGCAGTAGGTTGCTGCGGAACGGCTTAGCTGACAGCTCCATACACTGATCCGTTTTGCTGAAGCTTGCAGTGGGATGCAGAGCTAAACCGGCGTTTGTAAGCAACCACCACGCGTTGATTGTCGGCATAATTTAGTGGTCGGATAATATTTGATGTTAATGATGTTCGGGCGGAAGTGGTGTAGTGGCAAGTGGCACGCTTACCACGCGAGCGGTCCGGGGATCAAATCCTGGGTCGTGAGTCGCCCGGGCCAACCAAGCCTTCCATCCCTCCGGGGTCGGTTAATTGGTACCAGACTTGTCTGGGAGGATAAAAACACTGACTTGTACATCGGCTGGCCCCCGCAAGTCATTGTATAGGCCACATCGCATTCAAACGCCACTACGAATGTACAAATGGAAGTAGAATGCGTGCCGCATCCCAAAAAGGGATTGATCAACGGCAAATGCTTTATCCTTTATTATATGTCAATATTAGGAAGCCTATGATCACTATCGTATATCATCAAAACTCCACCATACATACCTAAGAAATGTAGAGCAGCGGTTGAATAAAGCTGACGCTGTTGATGACAATGCAGAATAAAAATGAAATTAAATGTTCCTTATCTCGTATCGGATTTCAGTGGTCTTTTTGAGCTGATTATTCTTATCAGCTTTTATCGCACTTCCGGTCCCCCCAAAAAAAATATGGTCCACTCCCATATTTGTATGTACCTGTCCCACTCCTCATGGAACCACTGCTGGGACATGCGCTATGAATTCCGTGAAGTCTGCGTCCTGGCGACTCTTACAAGTGATATCGCATTCGTTCCCCCACAAAATATGTTCCCGTTCCACACTTACATCATGTTCAGAATACAGCGCTCAATTTCTTCGTGAAGCGTATTAGGAATTTCGTGACTAACGCACAGGCAGACCGACATAGCGTTTTATACATAGTAAGCTATATAGGAAGGAACTAGGATAAATGCCGCTTTACATTTTACTGTGAAAGATGTTTCCTGTAGAAACTGATAACAATTGATAAGAGCTGATAAGGGGGCTAGAAAGCGAGCATCGCCAATTTCGTTTTGTCGTTCATATTGGTACTAGAGCGTCCATACTTACAAGTGTTATGTGGGGTGGGACATTGTTGGTGGGTGCCAGAAACTGATAACGATTGATAAGGGCTGATAAGGCGCGTCAGAACGCAAAAGTCGTCAATTCCGTTACGCAGCTGCGTTGACACTAGAGCGTCCTACTTACAAATTCTTTGTGGTACGTGCACATTGTATCGATATAACCAGCTTACTTAATAGAAGTCGATTGCATAAACTCAAACAAGTCTTCAGCAAATGATAAATTTTATTTCTAATATCAAAGGCATACAATATTAAAGGCAAAGTTCGGGCTCAGACCCACTTAATGAGCCTTTACGGTGGCTAGAAGCGCTAGGTACGCAAGTGTAGAGGTCGCGTCACTTCCCTACTTCGAAAAGCGTTACTTAGACGCTAGGCGCTAAGAACTTTGACACGCTCCACCTGTTGCGACACGCTCCGCCCACCGCTCGATATCTTGTCTGCGTCGCTAACTTGATCTGCTATGCTCTCTCTACTCGGACTTCTCTAGCGCTCTCCGCGCTCACATTATCTCTCATCTCCCTGCCGGCCTTTTGAACTTCTCCGCAGCGTAGAGCAAAAGGCTCGTATTTCCTGTGTATTTCACGATTTTTTTCCTTTTTCTCCACTGGCGGTCCACTCCTACCCCTACTTTCACATTTGAGTGGAATTACCTCATAATTTAATCCTGAATCTTGCCTTTAAAGAAAGCCATGGAATTGCTGACCTGGTCTTGGAGTCCGCAATAATGGTGAGGGCGAGTGA